CATCCATCCATCCATCCATCCATCCATCCATCCATGTCATGTCATTTGCTAGTGGAAGCAACCTCATGAAGAGGCTTTGCTAATCGATCCTCCTCAGACTGTGGTTGATCATTATTTTAGATCACATTTTCATACTTTGCTTCTATCTTCCTATCACTTTTAATTCAAATGCGTCCTGTAGAATCTAGAATTTTAAGCAATAATATTTGGTAGCTTACCTTCTTTTTATGAGGTACTTCCTTTCTAACAAAGGTGAAACTAAACATTTTAAAAACAAAGAAAAAAACTATTTTCATAAGCAACCCATCTGTTCATGATGCAAAACCTGCAAATCTTTGGGCTGGCATCTCCCTGCTCTTTACCATTTTGCATAAACTAATAAAACCCCTCACAAAAGCTGACTCCTCACCAAGCTTTGAATAAATAGTTCATTTTTAGGTGTTCACCTGAAGCGTCAAAGAATAAGCGCTACTCTAAAATTGATGCGCATTACACAGGGGCTGCACAGAGCTCATATCTTCCTTGCATATATTAAAACAATTTGAGCTAAATATATACTCTAAAAGCCATTTTTTTGTTTCCTTGTATATTCTATGATCTGTACAAGCAGCTTGCTATTTTAAAACAGCTTAAAAAGCGATGCCCAATGTGTAGTTCAGATATTAATGCAGGAGATTAGGACATGGCTGTTCATGGACATCCAGCTCTCATGAGCAGATGTTTGGCTAAAGGACTAATCATAAGCGTTCAGGAAAGGAGAGGAAGCCCACTACATACTGTATCAAACGCAGAGCCTCAAATACCTAAGTGCCAGGGAACGGAAACTGTTGAAGGACGACAATCCTATCAGTCAGACAGACAGAAGGGTCACAATTGTATTTTTTACCTGTTTCCATGAGGATGCAGCAAAGTAATTAGTCTCTGTGATATGCATAGCAGAGCACAAACATTCCAGACAGCTGTTTCCTGTTCAGTGAGCACTAAAACTAAGACTGCCTCATGTTAGAATCAAATTGCTCTGTCTAGCTCCAGTTCCCACAAAGACCAATCCATAATGGGTTCATTTGTGCTGATAAAATGCTGTTTTCTTAGAGAGATCATTTCAAGAAATAAGGAAGAAATATATAAATTAAATAAAAACATCAGTTTCAGGGGGTTTGGCATTTGAAGGGTAAAATTTCACCTGTCCTGTTTAGACCCTATTTGATCTAATTTAAGCAAGTTGCCTCTAAATCAGATGGAGGGAAAAATTTAGGTTCTGTATTTTCCTATCTCTACCTACAGCACCTTTATTAGGTATTTTCCTGGGGTAGCTTCATAGACTTTATTGATGCAGCATCAGCAGCATAACCATGGAATGGCAGGTAGGGGTACTTCCCCTAAAGGTTTAATGTCCTATTTCTTTGCAAAAATGTAATAAAATAAATAGATAAATAATGTTATTGGCCATAGATGGAGGGGGCTGGTTCAAAGTGTCAAGGATGTTTTGCTTTTTGTTTTTTTCAAGCCAAGTGGTCATAATGGTGTGTCTAATCACTGCACTTTACAAAAAAATACAAGCCCCACTTTAATATCTGTCCCTTCATAATCCTTACATACTCCTTACATAACTATAGAGACAAAAAAACGGAAGATCTTTGTTTGTAATTAACATTTTAAGACATCAGCTAAATATGAAATATATTCCAAAGCATGTAACTTGCCTTTGAAGTTGGGCCTTATTCTGGGATCGTAGCTGACCAGTAACCTGTTCAAGATGTTACTGGTTGTATTTGCTGGGACTCGAGCCAGATCCTCAGATGACAGCTCTCTGCAAACAAAATGACAGAGAGAGAGATGAAATTGATGGCAGATGAGCAACACAAATGGACAGTGGGCCTACTCTGAGCTGCTTTGTGTACTTTTTGATTAAACTACATGACATGAGACAAACCACTTTGGGATTAAATTGGCTTTTAAAATTTGGACCACCCAACATATATTAGAGTGAAGCAGGGTTTCAAAGTTAGATGTTCTGTTATTCTGAGTTGTTATGAAATCCTGACTGCTAAAGATGACATGGCCTTGGGCTAATGGATGACGTTTTAGCGATCATCCATGAACAAACAACATTTAGGACCTTTAAGACATTAACTGATGAGCTTGCCAACAAATCTCTCCATCATTTTGTATTTTCAGAAATTTTAAAATAAATGAACATTTTCAAGCAGTAAGTTTAACTTAAATAGTATTTCTTTTCAAAGACTACTTTGCATACTTACCTTTTGACTTTAACATGACCTACACCAGGGTGTTATTTACAATAACTGTGAATAAGAAGTGTCTCATAAATATTATCATTACAAGGTGTAGATTTTAATTGATGTTCAGCCCAATGTCTTCTCTTCCTGCAGCTTAAATATTACAAAATGATGTTGAAAAAAAAAGCAAAGACTAGGGAGAATCTGGTGGGGGAGATGGAGGTAAAGCCTCTTCATGGGTGGCAAAGAATTTACCACTCTGAAAGTAAACTTTATGCTCTGAGGATGAGTCAAAGTCTTTCACAGGAATGATCTGCAGCGTGTATGTGTTATGCTCTTCCCTTGATCAAAGTGCAACACACAATTCCCCTCCACAAAACATCCCTTTCTCCTCATTCCGCTTTAACCAGCTCTTTTGACAGCCTCAAGCACAACAGCTTAACTGAAACCAAGCGGTATTCTTGATTCACTGTGGCATCCACAGCATTAAACCCAAAATATGTCCCGATGCAGCCCGTGCATGCCACTACATGAGCCACATTTACCATTTTTCTGCTCATTTTATGAAACCTCACTGTTATAGTGCCATTTGAGGAAACAGATTCAAGCTTATTTGTGAAGAGGAAACTGGTAAATCTATGAGTAACATTCATCAGTGATTTGTTTTAAACCCTCATATCCATAGTTCTGCTGTAAAATCTTTATATGATAATTTTATGCCTGACTATGTCTTTGCATCTTGACGCATTTCTAAAATTTCCAGGAAGCAAACCCTCTGAAACGCCTCATCGATGAATAAAGCTGATAAAAGCATGTTCTGGTTGTCATATTGTTTACTAAAGTAAATAGGTTTAGCTGTCAGTTTGACTAAAACAGAAACAATCATTAACAAAGGCATACTATGTTCATCAAGATTTCTGATCAAACAATCCATAGTGGTTCTAACTGTCTAAAGCCCTGAAACTATAGAGATTAGCTTATCTTTCCAAAAGTTTTAATACTTTTTTAATATAATTGTTAGCATTTCTAAACTTTGATCCCCACCTATTAAGCTATAAAGGCTTCCAGAATCTTTGTTTAATGGACTTTAGTCTAGTCATGTTACTCTTATAATCCACTTTGTATTGATGAGACATAATTATATTTTATATATTTTCTGGTAAACTACATTGTGTTTTTTATTGTTCTTTTCAGTAGGGCTTTAAACGGTTGACTACTACTACTAAATGTGGGTTTTATAAACAGTAATTAAATGTGTTCTGCTGAACTAATTTAGATTATAATTATAATTAACAGGATCTACTGAAATGGGACAATGTATTCTCAATCCCAACTCATCAAAGTTTGATGTTTGGTTAAGCCTCTGTCAAAAGGATTGCTTTTATCTAAAGCAGCTCTAACCCATCCCTTAACCTAACTCCTAAACCATATAGGCTTTTCATACAGAAAGCCCATACTCTTATCTTTAGGTAACACAGAGTACATGTCAGATTAAATAATACTACTTCAGCGATAGTATCTAGGTGTTACTTTATTGTATGTCTCGTACCATGTCTGTCGGTTGTGTTGTTCTTTTTACATCTCTTTGCAGGTGATGAAGCAGACTGAAAATGTTTTATCATTATCTCCCTTTTATCTCCTCTTTTTTTCATCTTTTCTCCTTTGTTTTTCTGTTTTTCTCTTCTGTTCTATTTACATTGCAGTTTCCATGTAATCTGTAAAACTCCGTGCATAATTGTAATAAAGCAATTAATATGCATTAAACAAGCGGAACACTATGGCGATAGTCCTATTGCTCCACTTGTGAAAGTAAAATCTGTTGGGCTCTTTTTGGCATCAATACAATTGTTCTCATTGCCACATTGCCAAGACAGGACACTGTTAAAATAAAAAAATAATAATAAAAAAATAAATAAATACAATTTTTGTTGCAGCTCATTGCGCGTGTCATGTGTGTGTCACGTAATACAATGGCTGGTTATCCTTAGCTCCAAGATATTATGAGAGGCCTTCCCCCTTCAAGTCAGAATATGATGTGCCGGAGGCTTTGACCAAGCTCAGTAGGTGACTGATTGAGGACAATATATTGATTGGGAAGCGTTTGTTATGATCGATGGTCTAAGGTTGGCTTTGTGTTGGTGTGACTCCTCTTTTGCCACAGAGTCTCCTCTGGTTGGCATGACACGCTTGTGACCAACTGCACAGCTGTCAGTAATCTTTATAATAATGTTAACTGGGGATTCGAGCAACTGCAGGACAATAACTGATAATCTTGCTGAATTAGTCCTTATTTGTCTGGTTACCTTCTTGAAGATCAGTTGATTTTTCTTTACTGTAGTGCAATTGATCTTTGTGTTTTCTGTGGATTCCAACTTCTGACTTCAAGTGACAGTCTCCTTTGGAACTCTTTCAAATCATGATCATCTTCAGCAGTGCACCCCATCACTGACATTAATCTCCCTGCATGTTCTTTTAAGTATTTGGTTCTCTTACTCTAAGAAACTCAAAGACTTAAGCTCCAATCATTCTTGCAGAAATTCTGGGAACTCCTCCCCCCTCAACCCTTTACATCCAGCTTCTGGCAGTGAGCCACTCTCTACAATCCTTCCTGCAATATTGCTCCATCGATAAACTCTGGCCAAAAATTCCTCCCTCCACTACAGATGTTAGTAAAACTCTGGACCCAGAATTCCCCTTCTGTCAAACTCACTTATTATTGAAATCTCTGTAAATAAACAACCTTGCCTACCATTCTCTGTGTTCCTAGTATCATTCTGCATGTTGGTCAGAAAACTACCACATGTAATTGAAGAACTGTCCCGGTTATTTATGTTTACAGCAGTGTTTACATTTAGGGTCAGAGGTTTATATGGGCTCATCAACAACATAAAAGGTACAATAATTTGCAAGCTATGCATTTAAACAGCAATTTCTTTGAGGTAGAATAACATAACCCTAAACATCTTCAGTGACAGGTGGAGTATGTTTACATCCCCAGTGATATTTTTTGTATCAAATGCCCCTTACTAAATTTTAAGGTAACAACTGTTATGTCTAGAAACATATTTATCCTTCTCCCTGTCAGAAGTTAAAAAAAAACATTTTACATTTTCTGTAAGAACACACTTTGTATTGCTATTTTTAAGGAGTCATCAAATTTACAGTTATACGCATTTTGATTGACTTTACTTTGTATCAGTATGTGCTATCCCCAGTGTTGTCCGATAAAAGATTCAAGAATAATATGTAGAAGAAATGTGAGCCCTCTCTTCTAAGATTCTATATGCACACTATGCATGTAAGCACAATTTTGATGCTGTGTGGATTAGAGTAAATCAACAATAACAGCCTTTTAAATAACTATCTGGTTTACCAAGTGCTTGAAAAACATGAAATTTACTGCCATGGTGAATAGAGGAAAAATATTTCCAATGAGGTAAATATAAATCAAAGTTTATTGGTGTAAAACGACACACAGAATAACATTTTTTTTTTTTTTTTTGGGAAAATAACAGGATAACATGTGCTAGTTTGTTTTTTTTAGAAGTGATAAGACATGCATTTACTGAAAAAAATAATGATAATCATTCTCGTTTGTCAGATTTGATGGAACTATCGTTATTTGCGATGGTAGCTCCTAATGATAGTTTCTTTTTTTTTTCTGAACCTAGAGTTATGTAGCAAAATTACTTCAATGCAGTGTGTAGCCTATGTTTACGTCTAGGTTCCTGAGCCAATCATATGAGAGTTTCCAGGGTTGCAGAATTTGGTACTTTATGTTAGCAAAAGAAGCCGCAGCCTTTAAACATGGAAGGCAGCAAAATAAGCAGACCAGAAATCTTTTCAACCCATTTTCAAGAACCCTTAGCATCTTTCAAAGATGTTTGCACAACAACTTACTTTGTCAAAATCCTCTTTATTAATCATCTTGAATTTAGTGGCCTAAATTCCCCTTTTCTCCTTCTCAAACAAGACATATTTTAAGACATGCAGAAAGTCTCAAATTGTCAGAAACAGCAATGCTGAAGCCTAATAGCTTCTATCGCAAATTTGTTATTCATTAAACACTGGTGTCCAAAACACTTCTTTATTCATAGGGGGAGTGAATCATTCTAAGGCAATAGAATATGCCATTTTGGGTAGTTTGGGTTTAGAGATCCTTAATGAAATGATACTTGCTGATTGTGTTATACCAAGTTTAAAGTAAGGCAGATTATGGTGTGAAATTATTTTATTGGGGTGAGACAAATTTTTTTCTGTTATAAGGATTCTTAAGTTTTCACTGTTCTGGTAGAACCTTGACCTCAATCCAAAAGACCTGTGGATTATATTTACCTGGAGACTACAAGCCAAACCTGCATATCAAGCAACGATATCTGACCTAACGGATACTGGAGGTTCTGAGAATGCACTCCCTGCCGGAAACATGTATAGATGCTGTGCAAATATAATTCAAAATAAAAAAGGTTTTATCAAATCTGTTCCCTTACTGACTTTTGATTTTTCAGCACTCCTGTTGCACTTTCTTTTTTTTTTTTGTATGCTTAAACATACTGTATGCATTTCAAAGGTGAGTGGCACAAGACAAACAAATGTGTGTACTTCTGATCTTAGCTCCCATGTGATATCTCTAATTGGTTACGATTTCCCTGCGAGTTAGAGGTTTTTGTATTAATCAACCAATCAGAAGGTCAATCAAAGTCCATCCTTGTAACTTAGACACAGAGCTCCAAGACATATGTGTGAATCTTAAACAACATCTAAAGGGCAGGAGAAACTGGCATACCAAAATAAAATTCAGTCACTTATTGAATGTAAATATTCAAATATTACCTTTAAAAATGTTTGCCAGAGGAAAAAAGCTGATAAAGAGGAAGTTGAACAGGATCATCTGGACTTAAAATAAAACAACAAAAAAATCCAGTGACAAGCAACTTGAGTCTATTTCTATTATATGATTTCTGACCTCAAGTGTGCACAAATAAAAATGTTATTGTTTTGTTCGTCTAGAGCAGGAAGGTGTTGCTGGTATCAGCCTAAATTAATAATACATGCCAAGAGGCATACAGTATATGGATGTTACCGTGCACAGAATGATAGATGTGTTGTGTTTTGTATACTCACGATGGACAATAAACCTGCTTTCCTTTCTTTTTTCCCTTCTTGGCTCCTTTGTCTTTGGCTGATCCTCCCTCTAGACAAAGAAAGATGACCAAAAGGAAGATGGCAAACTTTGTCTTCTCCATTGTGGTGTGAGTGAAGCCTGTGGAGGTTAAAACAGTTAAATCACAAGAAAGATATAGATTGATAATCACTTATGCATGACTTTTGGCAAAATAAATAAATGAAGTTATTTTACTTACTTGATCATGAGAGAAAGCATTTTCCTTGCTTTTTTAATGATGCATTAACATTTTCCCATTTAGATCACACACATTCACATCTGACTTTTATCTTAATTTCGATTTATAATCATTATGAAACAAAGCTTAAATGTGCATTAAATGGATGTACATGAGTATGGTCTTACAATTACAAAAGACAAAACTACAAATGAGGATGCACACACAAATGCTTCCATGTATGCACAGGGATTCCTTTCCTACATAGAAGCCATTAATCACCGAGCAACCATGGTACCTGTGATTCATGCTGCATATTAGAAAGCTGTGCCCTCGTATTGCATAGCCACTCTGGAGACAAACAGTAAAGCCAGCAGTCTCTCCTCCAAACCCAAACATACACTCTGCCAGCAAGCTTGTATATTAACTGAGGCAGTTTAGTGTCTAGACAGAGACATACTCTTTCCTCTTGGCTGCCTTGGCCCTATAACTCCCTGTCTGTTCCTGGCCTGCAATGGATTATTAGTTTCTATTAGAGAAAGGCTGTCCTCAAATCTGCTCAGCTTCTTTACTCTGCATTTAAACACATCCTGTCGACTGGATTTAGTGAACAACACTTTAACAGGTTGACAAATCAAAACAAAACTCTATTATGGCAGCAACTAGCAGTTTGTCATTGATGGACATGGCACTTCAGATAATAATTTACAAACTTTATCCAGCATAACCTTAATTCATTCCTTTTCTTTACAATAACAACTAAAGTTTCAGACCTTTTGCAACAGTTTCTCAAACAAAACAAGGAGTATAGCTGTGAGTTTATAACATTACTGTCAGAGGATTTTATAGGTTTAATTCAACTCTGTCATCTGTCAATTCATCACCTCTCTTCCACTTTCGGTATCTGATATCAGGCCATGGGTTAACAGGTCAGCAATTAAACAGCTGTACTTCCCCAAAAGGCATCAAAGGGACAAGAAGATATATATTTATTTCCCTTCACCATCTTCTAGGTTTGCCCTGGGGTCTCCAGAGTGTCCCCCAAAAAATTTGATCTGAAGTCCAAGCCACTTCAACTGGATCATTTTAGCACAAATAAGTAGAAGTTTAATAAAACAGAATATCCTCCTTGATAAAGAGGCTCCTTGCCTTATCTAAGGTTGAGTCACATCCTGGGGGACGCTAATTTTATTTGCCTCTTTTTGAGCTCTTGTTCTTTGGGTCATGAAACCTATCTTGCAACTGTCCACTGAGAAGTAGATGGATAGTTTCACCAAGATGTTTTCTCTTAAGCAAATGTGGTACCATATGAAACATAACAGCGACATCTGCATTACATAAGATCATAGTCCAGTATTTCTGCCCATCTGTTCCTCTCACCACCACTCATTGACAAGACACCAAGATACTTGAATTCCTCTGGTAGGACAGCCAGGGTGAACCAGAAAAAAATGTCTACCTTGATAGAGGGTACTCTATATTTAACTGCAAAGTTCAGCCAGAACAGAGTCAAACAATCTGCAAAAAAGCGAAAAGGACATTCTGAGGGCCCCAAATCAGACTCCCTCAGTCTTTGTGCCAAGATTATTGACAAAAAGATTATTGGTGACCACTGAGAGTCTTAGAAGCTGCATAAAATTCCACTTCAATATCTACCAATTAAGGGCCCAATAAGACACAGTGCAAAATGCTAAACACTCTAAGAATTTTTTTTTTAATTATTATTCTTTTAAATAAAATAACCTTTGAAAACAAATACTTAAGGTAAATTCCATTGAAGTAAATACTGTAGAATGTAGATTTAAAAAAAATACAATTTAACAAAATTAAAAACATTAAAAGATTGTCTTGAAATCCTTAGATAAACATAAATTAAAACAAGAGAAAATGTTAATCAAAAATGTGTAGGGAATGATTTTAGTTTTATATGCAGAACATGAATGACTATATCAGAAATTAGAAAATGATCAGGGTATATAAACCACCACTGTCTAACTGTGATGGATCTGAGATACTGCTTTGATTTTTGTGTTGTGCATATTTGTGAAATTTGTTTTCACTATCAGATGTGGTTGATTGATATTACATTCATTCAGTTTCTCAGGGAAATAGAGTCTCTTCTAGTTCTCAAAGAGCAAAAGGAAAGGAACTAACTGGAAGCCCTCCCAGAGGTTGCAGGGCAAACTTACACTAGAATCAGAAATTTTAGAACGCATCTGCCTATGGTCTATATTCACTTATCCATGCAAGGTCATATAGGCCTTGTGCATATATCACCTGTCAATCAAAGAGTAACTCTAAGATCGAAAGACTGCCTAAGAGCAAATGAGGACTTCCAATTAACATAAAATGGATGCTTTGAAAAAGGGCAGGAGGTGAACATAAAAACTCAACACAAAAAGACCTTCATTGGGGATTTAAAACTCAGAAGAAACCATCATAAACATATAAAACTCCCCAGTGTAGAAATATAAATAGATTAAAGGGACTTTAATCAACAATGGCGCAGGCCTAGCCAACATTGTTTCATTATTACCAAGATTTGCCCAGTTCTCTTTTACCAGTAGCAATATTACTAACATACAGAGAGGTAGTGTCACACTGTGACTCACATTGCCTACCCAGTGGCGTTTTAGTCATGTTCAGCTCTTGTCTTCAAATAATGCTGCTGTTAATTTTTGTAACATATATACAATTCAATAAAATTAAAGTTTTTGTTTTTTTTTACAAGATAATAGGCCTTTACTGTAGTATTATAGCAATTCAAATGTATATAAGACCCTGGCCATAGGCCTGCTCGTCCTCTGCTTATATTCATATAAACAAATACCCCAAAAAGACAGGCAGCCCAGGGATCCTCCAACCTGTAGCTGCACCTCTCTAGGTGTCCTTTTCTAACAACTGGAAGTAAGAAAGACGCTCTGACTTTCAGGGGAGCACACGGATGGGAGTGGGGAATAAACAGCACATCACGACCACCATGATGCAGGAGAGAGATGCATGTGAAGGCGAGAGATTTCACTTCATGCTATGAACACATATAAAACACAAACACACAAAAGTCGTTCATCACTGGCCATGCACAGCTGCACTCACCGTCTGGAGATGATGCTGTCACTTATTCAAAAATATAAATCCAGAATAGCTTACTGAAAAAAATCCCTATCAGAGGCTTGCAGCCCAGTCGCTGTTTTCCTTTCCCATCCTGTTCTCCGCTCGGATCTGAGAAGCAAATTGTTGAGCGGATATTGGAAGGAAAAGTTACATCTCGGCAAAATGCCAAATTTCTTTCTTTTTTATTTATTTTCTTTTTTCTGTCTCTCTCTTTTTTTTTTTTTTTTTTAACCAGCTTGTTTTTATTTTGGAATCAGCGTATATGGCTGCTGCCCTTTTGCCTCAGCTCGGAATGCTCAAGATGGAGGCTTGCGTGTACCTGTCATGCAACATGCGCAGTAGCGGCAGCGTGGAGCTGGAGAGCGTCTCTGCCATCAGCACCACGGACAGCCGCCCCCGCCTCCTGGCGTCACGGCTGCTGAAGGGAATTGCTGTCACACGCATGATGCCTCACTGTTTATGGTGGCTTCTCTGTGAGACCGTGTGAGACACGCAGACGTGATCGAGTGCACGGACTTTTTACTAGATCGTAAAACGTGGATGCTGCCCCGGTTCATTCATCAGATCTGAGCTCTCATCCAGCAGCAGTGGCGGTTCTAGACCAAATGTTCCAGGGGTCCGGGGAGGGGCGTGTTTTCATGGGGCCACAGAAAAGCATGAAGCAAAAAAAAAAAAAGAAAAAACGGGCAAGGTATTCAAATATATTAAAACAGCTGCATGAAGTGAAATTTTTTCAATAAGGTTTAATTAAAATTATATGTCTTCTAACTGAAAATATTTATTTTTGGCTCAAAACATGTTTATTTGGATTATAGATCAAATCAAAATAAAAGTCCCTTAGCATAGAAAAAAAAGCAACTCTAGAAATTGTAGCTATCTAAATATATATATATATATAAAGATCAAATAAGGCTATTATTTGGAATATTAGGTCAATATACATTTATCATTTAGGAATTTAATTTTTTTACTTTATGTTAAAATTATAGTGTTCTATAAAATCAGAATTAGAACTCAAGAAAACTGATAAATTCAGCTGTTAAAGTTAGAGTATTTTTTTATTTGTTTTTTTTTTTAAACAACAGATGAAAAACTGGGATCCTATCTCAATATCACTGAAGATCATGGGCGGTTCTAGACAGGGGCCAACGGGGGCCAGGGCCCCTGTAGATAATGTCCTGGCCCCTGTTATGGCCCCTGTACTGAAAACATAATACTCAAAGAATTTCTAAAGATGATCTGCCCTGCAACAAGCAAGGTTACTGAAAGGTCCTTTACATCTATTTCATTTTTTTTTTTTTACAAATTGTATTTTATTAACAATTTTTAAAAAATAAGGTGATGGCTTAAATGGTATTGAGATATGATCCCAGTTTTCATCTGCTAATTGGTTTTTTCAAAACAAATTAATAACATACTCAAATTTTTTACAGCTGAATTTAACAGTTTTTCTTAAACTCTAATTCAGATTTTATAGAAAACTGCAATTTCAACTTAAACTCCAAAATTCTGAATGCATATTCACCTAAAAAGACATTTAGAATTTTAATGAAACTTAATTGAATAGAAGTCTCACTTCATGCAGCTATCCTGTTTTTTATTTCATGCTCCTCTGTGCCCCTGTGAAAACACGCTGGCCCCCTCCTGGCCCCCCTAGTACATTTGGTCTAGAACCGCCACTGCTGAAGATATCACCTCATTGTTTTAAAATAATTAGTAAAAAAGTTTTTTTTTAAGAAAAAAATGAAATAGATCCAAAGGACCTATCAGAAACCATGTCTGCTCCAGTCCATATCATCATTAGAATTTTTCTTAGAGGCCAGGACATGATCTACAAGGGCACTTGGCCCCTGTCTAGAACTGCCCATGTCCGGCAGAGTGGAGAAAATCAGAAGATATTTGTAAATCATATAGGGAATTTAAAAGAAATATCTCTAAAATTGTCTGACCAAATATCAGATTTACGTTGTATATATGTAGTAAATATTCAAAACTAAAATCAGAAACTTCATTGTGTTTTAGGGAGTGTTTCCACATTTATAACTGTGAAGATTAAAAAAAGGAAAAGGTGACATGTTTAAACGTATCCACGTCTAAATTTAAAATATTGTTTCATTTCATCTCTCCTTCATGGTGTTGTACAGCTAAACATAATCAAATACAAACTCGCCTTTAGCAGTCACCCAAATGAAGATAAAGTCAACCTTTCTATAAGTTGTTTGTTTACCTAAAACAATAATTCTAGATTCTAAATTGAATAGATCACTTTCTAATCCCTCATTTGCGAGGTAAACTCTCAGTGTGGAACAACACCAAAAATGGCCTGGCAATGCAAACTTTGGAGGATCCATAAATGAAGCTGAATAATCTGTTAAAACAAAGCACTGTGTCTACACCTAAAAGCTTTCTCTCTTCCGTTCTTTTTCCTGAAAAGAGATCCCTCGGGACAAACTCTTTAAATAACACTTCATATATGTATTAAATAACCATGAGACGTAACAACAGATTCTGATAGAAATTGTAGCCTTACTCAGATCAGACCAGTTGCTTAGGGCTACAGAAGGCAGCTGCTTAGTTCTAATGATTCACAGTTAAAGAAGCATTTTATACAACTCCGGTATGCCACATCATTACATCATAGACATTTGCAGATGAGAACACATCGATGGCTCCTGCCTTATCAAAATATTACACTTTGTTCTTAGCTGAAGGACACCGCTCTCATTCCATTCCTTAATCTTTACCATGTACAGAATGAAGATGATAACTGTATATCCGGACAGAAGATCTGGGTAAAACATTGGCGCTGACACACAACAGGCAGGTAATGTTAGGGTATAATAAACTCACACATCATCAATTTTCCTAACTGTCTCTTAACAGGAAAATATTAGTTCGGTATCTTCTCTTCATATAAGAGTCGTAAAAAGAACATATGTGATTACTTCCATAGCAAACACTTGGAAAAAGACACTCATGTGACATGATGATTAAAGTGAAATATTTCCCTACATGTTAAATCTGTTGCTCCATACCACCCTGAACACATCACTATTATGAACTGGTAGAGAGGATACATCTCTGCGTTCTTAGTCTGTCCATTAAATGCATTTCCTGGTTAAAATGGAGAGGTATATTCTGTATACCATGGTGACTTTACATTAAAAATGAAAAAAATTATTACTTATCTTCCTTTTTGAAGCAAAAAGATATAAAAATCCCACATATTTGCTAAAACCTCTTATATTACTGATTTGTATATCCAGTAAGTAATTTTGGATATTGCTTATAAAGATTATTTAATGAGCAAAGCTAAATAGATTATGATTAATAGAACATCTTACTGTATTTGAATAAATCTCAGATGGAAAGGAGACAAGACAATGATGCGTATACAGTGAGCACACAGCAGGACTGCCCCACCCATAACTGTTCACCTAAAGTTCAAATATTTCCCATTTGTTATTCCCCTCAACCTCCTCCCATTTTTAAAACCATCCGTTTCATTTACAAGTTAATCAAATCCACACAATAAATAATTTATAACCCAGGCCATGTTGCTGTTTTTGCAGTAGAGATGCAATCAGTTCAGCACAGAGATTCTTTTGTGCTGCTCAAAAACCCCCCAAAGCATTTTATGGCTTTTAAACCTGGGTGTGATGCACAACAGGGTGCAGATCCAGGAATGTGTCAGACGGAATTGATGCAATCTGTAATATGATCTGGCATGCAAATCCCTCGTCTGCTACTACTTACTACTGGAGACTTACTGGTGTCATCAAAAAAAAAAAAAAAAAAAAAAAAAATCAAAGTGATGAGCGGTTTAGGATTGTGTCTGTTTTCATTTTAGAAGAGAATGAGTCTTCACTTTATTTTTGAAGTGAAGGTTTAATGATAGTAAAATTAAAATTTACAACAAAATCCAACAAATACCTCATCATAAAATTATTGTTGCCTCTGTTCAGTACTGCATAATAATCTTGATTATTGAAGTGCTATATGTTATTCTGAAGTATTATTATGTTATGTCATTATGTTTCTTTCTCTGTTTATCTCCCCATCTTCCTGAGTTTTGGGTCCTCTAAAATGATTTAATCTCTTCAATTTAGCTGATTCATTTTCTAAAGGATTTGGGTCCTGGGATTTAGATGAAGAATTTCCAATCATATATTTTGGAAATTCAGAGAACCTACTCCATGTGATGCACTCTCTTAGTTTCCCTTTAGCACATTTTATTTCAAACCTACCCAGAATGTTAGTATTTAAAATACTCTTTGTCATGTATGCCTTCAGTTCCCATCCTCAAAGTCTGTTGTCCTTTGACTTTTAGATGTGCTTCTGCTTGAACCTACCTCTTAGGAATCTGACTGCATTCTGATGAGGTAATTCAGTCATCTGATTCATTTGTGTTAAACCAGGAGCATATCTAAAAGTCCCATAATGCCAGATCTTGAGCACCTAAATTAAAGATCTTTATTTCAAAGAAATATAACTTCATGGTCTTTACTGTAGAAGTTTAACAGTAAAGTACATAATAGAAGATTGTCCTGAAACACAGCCCTTGGTGAAATCTTTTACAACATTCAGCCCAGTGAATTCTGGGCTACTTTATTGGCCACCCAAAAGAGCTGGGAAGCCGGAGATGAGGGACATTTGAGAATTGTGAATCATCAGCTGGTAATCAAATAAGTATCATGATTTTACAACAAAGGAACACAAGTCCTGTTATATGCATCGTAAATATTGTAATGTTTTCCCTATAAAAGGCTTACAGTCTAATTTTCCCTTGTCCTGTTGGTCTTGTATACTGTAATCCCAACCAAATTCGTATCATACATGGTATGTATACATGTATATGTCATTTAAAAATGTATCTCAGACAAAGCTATTTGTTCTTCTATTTTACAAGTATAGATGCACCTGTTTTGGACATACAAAATAAGCTTATAAAAGTTTAAATTAAGTGCTGATATATAGACATTTTATTGTGATCAAACTTATTAAGGCACAACTTATGGTACTGCAAAAACAACAACAACAACAACAAACAGAACTCAATTTTTTGTTCAGTATTACATACAGAGGTTAGAACTTGATTGAATCAAATGTGCAGGTTCATTATTATGCTGAAAGTCTGGCAGTGCAATACATTTAAACATTTAAATCATTAAATGAACAGATTAATTTAATGGAAGCTGGTCTTCCTCATCAGCTAA